CGTTTACCAAACCCAGACCAACTTGGCTTCAGCAAGATTGCAGTGCAACAAGTCTTAAGACTATAAACCTGGACGAACCCTCACTGCTGTCCTTTTAGACCTGCAGGTTGTTTTAAATGCATGCAGCTGAAGGAACTGCCTTTCTACTTCATAACAAGATCCTTTCCAAATACAGATACCACTGCCTGAGACAACTGTTGAGCAAATATGAAGAAAGCTAAGGAGGAAATAGACAGCTGCTTTGAGTCAAGAACACTGTCAAAGGTTTCGAGCAAATAGACTTCACTACCTGACTATAGATTTGCATTTCTCAACCTCTAATCATGCTGCCAGGATCTTTTAGCTGAACTGAAGACAGGGTGAATAAAAATCTCTCACACATATACACACAGCACACACAACTTGGATTTAGCATCTGGTGCCCGATTTGCCACTTTCCATAGTACCCTCCTTAAATTCGGCTCCAACCCCGACTAAAGTGACTGGTGGCATGTTTTAGTGCTTGTCTTCACTTGACCATGTCATATCATAAAACTGGTATGAGCCCAGAAACCTACACCAATCCCTTTCAGGTTTATAATTGAGAAAGCTTGCTTCCGTTGCCCACACACATCCCTGGTCATTCAAGTTTCTTCCTCTTACAGTCTTCCACCTGTTACCACCTCCTCACACTGTTTAAATGTAGATCACCAAGTTTCTGGGGGCAGCAAACTACCCATTTTACTTCTGTTATTCTTGAACATGGGCGTGTAGGCTGATGGTACCATGTAAGGAAGATATAAATCATCTCATTTGCTCTGTGCACCTTGTTCCTGTCCAATTAGCAGAGGTTCAAAGACTGACTCAAGGCAAATCTAAAAAAATGTAGTATAAACACCAACAACTGGGAAACACTTGCCTGCAAGTGCTCCAATTGGAGAACAGCCTTTACAAAAGGTGTCATGGGCTTTGAAGACACTCGAACTCAGGACGCAAGGGAGAAACATGCTAAGAGGAAGGCACGCTTGGCAAATCCACACCATGATCAACTCCCACCTGGAAACCAATGTCCCCACTGTGAATCCAGAATTGGCCTCCACAGTCACTTACGGACTCATTGTTAAAACCGTGTTTATGGAAGACAATCTTACTTGGCTATGAATGATCACTAAATAAGAAGAAAAAGAAGAGGATACTTCAAGTGTCCACTTGGTGGGAGAAGGAAAGGAAGTTTATGGTTGCTTAAACACTTGTAGCTTGAAAGCACGATCTTTTCAGGTTTTTTGCCAGTTTGCACATTTGTACTCAATCTGGCTAGTCACGGGGAAGAACGCTAGACCCCCATCCCTCAATCCCTGGAAATTTTATTCAGCCACCTTCTGACTTTCATGATTTTAGCCCCTACATTTTCAAGCATATCACAATGACCAGCAATTTTTGTTTTTAAAAAAACAATTTGTTTTCAGGAAGGTAGTGCTATACACTCAGACCTAACTAAAGGGCTGTTTCCTCCCCCGCCATCCCATGTCCTACTTAAAACATGAGGCTTCATAGCCCCTCCCCCAATTGTTTCTTTGAACAAGTGACTGAAGAGCTTATTCCACTAGGTTTCTGACACAAGAGAACTCCCTACTGTGAATAGTAAACTAACGCCAGATAAAGCAACTGATTTATTAAACAGCCAACATCTTTTTAAAAAACAGATACTAAAAGACAGCAGCCACGGCATTCAAACAGGTGTGCCTGCTTACCACAATCCTCCTGTGATTAGACTCTTCCTTTCTGTGAAGGCACCAAAGGCTGTAAACAGAAGATTACTGTGAAACTAGGCAGGTTTTCAATTCATTATTCATCAATGGGTGGGTAAAGCTTTCACTTCCGGGAAGAAAGGATCCAAAAAGGTATACACAGCTAGCAGAGAAAGGCAAAACTCTTCCCAAGTGAGGTTTAATAAACCAGCGCAATGGATGACTAAGCAGTAGCAATGTGCAGGCTCCCAGAGTCCCCCTCATCCTGCCAAATGTCTCTAATCCAGAGCAGGAAACAGTAAAAAAATACTTGGTCAGCTCCATCTAACTCCTTGCAGACGCTTTGTCATAATGAGAAACCGAATCACAGCCATTTGCAGCATCCGAAAGAGAGGATGGATTGTTCAGAGAGGGAAATGAGCTACTCTAGAAAGATACAATCATCCTTTATAAAATAAGTTTTGTTATTATTTATTGAGCAGTTTCAGAACAATAAAAAATGTTTCAGAAATTGTTTCAGAACAGTTTCAGAAGGATAAAACCCATGTCTTTCTAGAAAGGCAAGATACTTTTTTAAAAGTGCATAAATATTTACTTAGGGCAGTTTGGATGTCTAGGTATCAAATCTGTCCCTGGTAACCACCTTTTAAAGAAAGGTGCTATTCTTCAGATTTCAGTTCTATAGAACTTACATTTCTAGGCAAGCAGTGATGTTCGTTTCCCAGGGAATTCTGATCTGGAAGTCCTTCCACTTCCCTAAAATAGATTGAGGCCTGTCTATCAGAATTGCAAGCCACTCACATGCTAAAACAGAAACATAACATTAAATTTACATGTTGCAAATAAATAAATAAAAAGTATTTCAGATAGCCAAAAGTAGTTGAATGGAAATACCGGAAAATCAACAGACTGCATTTTATATGGTTTAAATGTCCTATTCAAAAGCTTTACTTGAAAATCTCTTCTATGAGAATAATTGTAGTAAATGCTTTCAGAGAAGACAGCAAGATAGCATACGCATCCCTTCCATTATTTAGATTTTAACGGGGGGGGGGGGGAGGCACTGTGAAGTGTTAACATACTTGGTTAACACTTGAGCATGCCTGCAAACATTAGGGATAGTCAGTTGAAAAAAAGTCAGACAACTATTGATTTCATGTCACGGGGGTTGCAAGAATGAACTAGGAGACAAGATCGAAAGAGCTATGCAAGGCAAACGTATCAGATTTCAAGTCCTTGCCTCCCATAGCTGTCAACGTTCCCTTTAAGGTAAGGTAAGGGAAATTACCTTATTCCAAATAGGATTCCTCGCAAGAAAAGGGAAAAGTTGACAGCTATGCAAGAACTCCCCAGCTGAAAGACAAATCTCCTGAAAGTCTGGAGATCCTTCACAGAGCTCAGCTGAATGTTTCCCAAGAAGCCACCATCGGAAAGGAAATTTGTGATTGTTATAGTTGCTGCAAATGGAGGTTGCCTGGCTGTGCAATGGGAATCTGGAAGCACAGTAGTAATAATTAACAGAGAGCCAGCTGGAAGTGACCTGCAGGCACAACCTTGTGGACGTCAGGAACAGCCACCAGGCTCAAAACACTTTGGGCTCTCATGAGTCAGAGGAATCCAACCACAAAGCATAGCCGGGGTCTATTCAGTTCTTGCAGACAGATAAGCAAAGAGGGTTTGTTTGTTTTCAATGAAGACTCCTTGACAACTCGACTGCCAGGAACATTAGCTTCATTTTCTAGATTCAGGTCCTCAGGTTTACGTAGCAACCACCCAAGGTTTGCTTTCGCCCAGGTCTTTAATTATGAATCCTCCCTCCCAAGTCTGGCCTTCAGAGAGACAGGCAGAGGTTCTTACAAAATGTGTACGTTAAGGCAGTAAGATAACAAGTTGAGCTGGTTTTTGACGCAAATCTGATACTTTGAGGGAACATTTACAAAAGGCCTAATAATAGCAACCATATTAATAGCAATACCTACTTGGCTCTTCCTGAATGGTTACAAGAGCTTCATGTCTGGGTGATTTAAAAATCCCCAAGAAAGAAGGCTAATTGTGAGAAATTGTTTTAAAATCAGCTTATTAAGATAAGCATGGGGACCCCCCCTCTTGGCAGGTCTCCAAATGTATGTTTGGGTTAAACATGGGTCCTGTATCAGAAAAGATTGAAGACTTCTGCCCTATGGTCATATCCACACCATAGATTTAAAGAACTTCACTACCTGCAAAGAATCCTGGGAATTGTAGTTTGTGAAGGGTGTTTGGAATTGTAGCTCTGTGGGTAAACTACCATTCCTAGGATTCTTTGGGGAAGCCATAACTGTGATCAGTGCTTGAAGAGCCACTAAGCTAGGCCCCAGTCCAGAAGGCCCCTGAAACCAGCATTGCTGAAGAATACTGAACATCCTACAAATTGGACTTCTCAAGTGGAGATCATTCTTCTGAAAGGCTCTTCAAGCAGAGAAATGCAAGGTTTGGTCACATTTTAGCAATGTTCGAAATTAGCCAGGTGCCAGGCACATTTTGCAACCTGGCTTTTGACCACTTGCAACCAAGTGAAGATTCCAGGATGATGCCTGACATCGCCACCATCTGGAGGTGCATACCTGGGGATCACTGGATCGGGAATGTTTTCACACCCTAATACCCCATCCTGTAGAATTCTATCCATTATATCTTATCTGCACAAACAGAATGAATTTCTGGAACCCAAATGCTTTTCCTGTGCAGCCTCAGGAGGAGCAGTCACCGTTAAGAAAAAGAGGTCGGAATAGGCCAATATATATGTGGACTCTCCCAGGATCAAGCAAGTGGCTTTTCTTTTAAGTTCTCAAAGTAATTAACTAACTCAAGGTTGCCACCTGAACTAGCCAGGTGTTTAACTGATAATCACACTTAGTCCATCATTTGAAAAATAAGACTTTAGAGCCGTCTTGCCCTAAAGTGACAACTAGACATTCCATTTTAGTGACTGTAACCTTGGTTTAAAGAGCCATTTTGGCGCCTAGCTTAAATATCTGAGTTTCTAACACCGCATTTTAGGTATCCAAAGAGAGGTTGCCGTATGATGCGACCATTAACTGTCCTTTCATATCCACAGAGCAGAACTCCAGAAGATAATCCATTGTCTCCCGAGACAGACGGATGACAACACCAAGAACTCTGTATCCCCACTTTACATTACATGCTGCTTATTGGATACAGGAAGTTGCCTTGCCCACATTTGCTGGTAGAATTGCTCCTAGGTTCCAGGCAGGAGACATTCCCAGTCCTACCTGGAGATGCCAGGGCTTGAAACTGGAACCTCCTGTGTGAAAAGCAGATGCTCTGCCACTGAGTTACAGCCTCCCCCCCCAAAAAAAAAACTCGCCAAAGATCCCAGAACATTGCCTTCCATTGTTTTGCTGCAGTTAATGCAGGTCGGAGAAAGAAAAATAAGCAGTAATTGAAATCACTCTAGCGAGTTGCCATAATTTTGAGGCGATGCAGCAGACATTGCTTTTATTTTGCTCGATTAGTATCATCTGACATTTCAATTATTTTGTTTTCCACCATGGCTGATACGGTGCTAAATAAGTCCTGAATGTTATCTAAGGGCAACTCCAGGCTGTCGCTGTTTTTTGGATGCGACTCAATCGCATAGCAGAAAATTCAGTCTGCGCAACTGTACGCCGATTGGGAGGCTTTTGCTCAAGGAAAGCGATAAGGAAAGCGACAGGGAAAAGCACTGGGGAAAGTATGAGATAACACTTCCTTTGACACAATGTCACCTAGCCTCCCCACTAACAAATCCAAGCTTATTAAACCAGCCAACTTTGTCTAATCTCCCTGTAATGAAATCAGGATGGATGCTCAACCAACCAGCCTCCGGGAAGGGTTCTAAGTTACCTGCCCTAGCAGAATCAGACTAAAATGGTACATCTGCAGATGCACACGCCATACATTCTAAGCACATCTATCACACCATTTAAAGCACATGAGTCCTCTCAAAGGATCCTGGAATTGTGGTTTCTCCCTCGCAGAGCTACAAATTCCAGGCATATTTAACAAATCATGCTTCCCATGATTCTTCAGCCAACATCCTAGGAAACAGCAACCAAACCTCTGCAAACCTACAACTGAGGTTATAACGGGCATGATGGCCTCACCCAGTGACACCCACTACAGTGGTACCTCAGGTTACATACGCTTCAGGTTACAGACTCCGCTAACCCAGAAATAGTGCTTCAGGTTAAGAACTTTGCTTCAGGATGAGTACAGAAATCGTGCTCCGGTGACGCGGCAGCAGCAGGAGGCCCCATTAGCTAAAGTGGTGCTTCAGGTTAAGAACAGTTTCAGGTTAAGAACGGACCTCCGGAACAAATTAAGTACTTAACCTGAGGTACCACTGTACAGCTATGCAGCCCCCGAAGGTTGCCAATGCAGGAATGTAGCTCCTTGACTGAAAAAGGTTCCCCAGCTCTGGGTTCTCAGACTTTTGTCTTCCACCCAGCTTCACATAACTTTGCTCACAAAAACAGGCCCATCTTTCATGTTAGGAAAGCAAGCCTATACCAGTTACTAAAGTCTGAGTTGTGCACTGTAATTTATAGAACAAAGGAAGCTGATTAAGTGGCCCACAGAAACCCACAGCAATGTTCAAGTGGTCTGTGAGAGCAATATTTGAGAACTGCTGATCTAATTGATTACATCCTCAGATGTCACAAGTCTACAGGCCATTTCTCGCACTCACAGTTAAAGAACACAGATAGCAAGAAAAGGGTCAAATGAGAACAATATTGGCACATGAACAAGAAGAACCTTTCAGCCTACAAGCCAGTCTCTTTTAAACCACACGCTCAACAATTCTGATAATAGCTTGACACAGCATAATTCTATTTTACTGCCATTATGTAAGGTCTAGTGTTCTGAAAGAGAAGGTGTATCACCAGTGCAGAGCCAAAAAACAGCCATTTTGCTACAAGCATTTATTTTCTTTTTGAAGTTCAGATTGCATTACAAAAAAAAAGTGTGTGCACACAAACAACAGGTTTGAAAGATGCTTACAGGTGCATTACATGTTGGGCCACCTTGGAAAGAAGTCATGTAGCTACATGCAGGATGCAGCACGGGAGCAACTTTGAAATGCAAACCTACAGAGAAAGGTATCTGGTCCCGTAAATATGCAAGGTGGAAAGAGCAGTCCCATCTTAAGAAGGCATGTGTCTCTGGGCTTCCTAACCAACCCACTTTTGAAAAACTGCCCAGTGAAGATATCCTGCCACTTCAATCATCCCTGGCCTTTGGTCTTTAGCATCAAACCAGAATAACGGAAGACACTATTATGGCAACTCAAATGAAAAGTCAAGGGCTTTTAGAGTTCTTGGTCCTATCAGGAGCAAATTAACAACTAGAATGGAAGATTACCGTGCCCACTAATTATTAGGAAAGGCCTCTTGAAATGAGAACAAGGAATTAAATCCAGGCATGGATTTAAACTGCTTTGGGCCGTCGACCTTGATGAACATTACAAACCTCCAGTCACTGAAGCAGATCCCATGTCTGCACAGAAAAAGCCTGTAAAAACATTAACCAAGCGAGGACGGTTGCTAAGCAGTTACCCTCAAAAGGCTTAGAAAGGGCACAAAAGGGGAGTGCACACTGCACATTAGTCAACATCAACACCGCCACCATGAAGAAACTATTCAGGGAATGAAGAAACAACCAAATCAATTTTTGGAAAGGAAGTTTAGTAGCCGAAAAGGAGAAAAGATGCAGATTCATGAACAGAGATGGCAACATGAGGGTGTGATTAAGTTGTCCATGGCACCTTTGAACAAGTACTTAAGACCTCTCTATTCTGCAAGGGTTGGGAGTAGGTAGGTTGCAGTATTGGGTACAAATTTACATTTATATCTCACCATGCCTCTAAGGAGCTCAAGGTGATATACAGTGCTACCTTGGGTTACATATGCTTCAGGTTACATACACTTCAGGTTACAGACTCTGCTAACCCAGAAATAGTACCTCAGGTTAAGAACTTTGCTTCAGGATGAGAACAGAAATTGTGCTCTGGCGGCACGGCAGCAGCGGGAGGTCTCATTAGCTAAAGTGGTGCTTCAGGTTAAGAATGGACCTCCAGAACGAATTAAGTTCTTAACCCGAGGTACCACTGTAAATGGTTCTGCTCTCCAAAGAACTGCAGCTCTGGGGTAGAACATCTATTTTGCATACAGAAGCCACAGGTTCAATCCTCAGAATCTCTGGGTGTGGGAGAGACCCCCATCTGAAACCCTGGAGAGCCGCTACCAGATTGTGTGGACTTTGTTCCAAAATAAGCCATTTTATCCTCTTAAGGACCCTGTCAAGTAGATTACACTGAGTGGTCCCAACAAGTCATGGCCGAATAGGGATTTGAACCCTCGCCCAGAGATCCGTGTCGGCCACGAATCACTACACTGGTTCTTGATGAACCTTTCATGAGAACATTCAAGTTCCAAGACCTTGCAAACGTGGCTTGAAAGTACATAGGAATGTCAACAGAAAAAGAATTGGTGACGATTTCAAATGGCTGGAAAGCTGGAGCCCCGTACCCTCCATATAGTTCCTGTTGGCGAACAATAAATAAATAAAAAATTCATTGCAGAGTACATGTTATGTAAAACAAACAAGTTTGCATAGTTTATCAAAGTTGCAGTTCAACCTGGCCTAACACAGAACTCAGTTTTTATCACAGACTTGGATTAAGCGCCTATTACAAACATGGTAAGAGTTCTGTTTGGAAACATATTAAGAAATTGTGTGTTGTAATATAATTAACTTGCTTGAATTCTGTCATCACTAAAAAGAGTCACATAGAGGTTTTTCTTTAAGGACGCAAAGGGGCATATATTTTAAGTGGGAATACTGTGCTCCCTATTTTCACTACTCAGAAACCACATCTGCTGAAATACAGCCAGTACAGTTCTTATCACAAACTAAAGGAACACCAAGGTGATGTTTATGGCTTTCTAAAGCAGCTTAAAGATTAACTCCATATGAGGAACACAGCTAAGAAAAGATATTCACTTAGTAAAGCGACTAGAGTTTTTTTAAACAGATATTTTAAGACAGAGGTGGAGAACCTGTGGACCATCCAGATGTTGTTGGGACAACGGAAGTTACAGTCTAACAACATCTGGGGGGCACAGGTCCCCCATACCTGTATTATGTTATTTTAAAAACTTGACCCTGGAAGCAGATTTAACCTCCCTGAATGACTAAGTGGTGTAGATTTATTTCAGGACACTAAAGTCCCCACATTGGCCTGATGTTCAGTTTTGGATGCGGAACAGTCGAAGTGCATCGAGATATAACATGACTAACATCTGAGTACACAGATGACAACAATAAAGGGCGGATGATGTCCCTGAAGGAACATGCGCACAGACGAGCAACAGAAGCAAATGTCTACTAGCCCCGAGGCTGCACCACTCCTCCCTGCCCCTAATCTGATGAAACTCAACTTTTGCAACAGGGAGACTTTTGCATCTATCGTAGTAAAGAAGCCTGGAAGATCAGAGTTTTCCATGGACACAAAACGTTCTCCAATACAGTAGGTTCACTTCTATCACAAAACAGGCTTGAATAATTCACCCAATCTTGGGAAGTCAGAGCTGAAACATACATACCCCAGCAGAGCTGCTACACCCATGTTCCTTCTCCGCTGGATAAAAGTGCTTAATAGTGCTGAAGTTATCAGGCTAAAACAGCTTTATAACGGTTTTCAAAACACAGGCTGGCATAGGGTGGGAACTGGTATCTGCTTTTGCAAAATGGTTTTGCCTTTCCTTTTCTGCGCTTGTTGTTTAGTTGTTTAGTCGTGTCCGACTCTTCGTGACCCCATGGACCAGAGCATGCCAGGCACTCCTGTCTTCCACTGCCACCCCCAGATTGGTCAAACTGGTAGTTTCAAAAACACTGTCCAACCATCTCGTCCTCTGTCATCCCCTTCTCCTTGTGCCCTCAGTCTTTCCCAACATCAGGGTCTTTTCCAGGGAGTCTTCTCTTCTCATGAGGTGGCCAAAGTATTCAAGCCCCTTCGCCACGACAAGGCAGTGATCCATGAAGGAGTTTCTGGGCTTAGCAGTGCCCATTTAAAGCACAAGGAGAGTTGGCAAGAGGGAAAATCAAGTCCAAAGTTGAACCTGCTCCATTTTTCACACTCTACCCCCCGCCAATTTATTAAGTGTTCTGGACGCAGATCAGGTTCCATATTTGGCACTGTTTTACCTGAATATAACCTGTGACTCTGAGCCAGGTTACACGTTTTTCCGGTTATAGTAACATCCACTTTCTTCCTTCTTTCTAAAAACTTTTGCTCCGAGACTG